TAATAAAGTAGTTGAAGCACACTATTAAATTATTTATTATAACCCGATAACAATTTCATAAAATTTTATAATGAAAAAATGTTTAGATGTCAATATCTCTTAAACAAAGCGTTTACGGACATGTCTCCAGAGGAAAGTTTTTTCTTGTTTTGAGGTCCTAAGTTCATATTTTAAGTTAGGACATTTAACCCTGAAACACCCTGTATATATATATATATATATATATATATATATATATATATATATATGCAGATACATGCGACTTGAAAAAGAAAACGCGAAAAAAAAGAACGATGTCAGAATGATGTATCAGCCATTTAACAACTTCCGCATTCGGGCGTTATTCATGTAACGTTCAAGACATTATTTTTAGACGCACGCTCATCGTTTCGTCCCTCTCGTTTCGACCTCGAGATAAAAAGAGATAAAGAGATGTTGAAACGCGCAGTAAAAATTCCATGAACTTCATCAACGAGAAAAGCCTCGAGGGAAATAATTAATTCTCGCGTAATATTCTTTCACAGCAAGACATTATTTTCAAGGATCTTCTTATAATTATAGTATTTATATTAATATTATGATAAAAAAGTGAATACTCTGAATAATTGCGAGGCTACGTCGCTTCATACTTCATGATGCCCACCCAAGATTGAGCGATCAAGAAATTGATCCGATTGCAATTAAGAATTTTTTCTAAGCTATGTAACTTTCTTATGTACGGATTAATGTATTACTCGCGCTTTTTACATATACTTGTAGATAATGCAAGGTAGCGGTATGCAACAATCACCGGACGGTCTTAGTCTGGACGCTAGTGGATATCAGCAACAGCTCTATTTACAGCAAGAGCATTCGATGCAACCGATCAATGTCAGGTGAGTACGACTCAATTCTTCAAGTTACCGTTAATGTTAACGGTATAAATTAGACCTTGATTTTGTGCACTGAATTCATGCACTTTTCAACCGCGTATCTATACAAGTATACGTACAATAATTTATGACGAAGGCAAAATAAAATGCGGAAAAAGCTCGTAATCAGATTCTAGCTCGTGACTTTGTAAATTAAGGACAACAGCGAGATGAGGAGTGCGGCGATAATTGAAAGAAATTCGAGAAAGAGGGGGACAGGGAAGAAGAGGGAGGAAAGGGGAGATAGAAGGGGGGGGAGAGAGAGAGAGAGTTTTAAAATGTCATGCTTTCCTTATTCTTCGAGCTCGAATGGAGCTCGAACGGAATTCGAACAGATGGCAATGATCAGAAGATACATGGCCTGAGGCGTAACAAAGCAAGATTAATGAACATCGAACACTCTTGGCTATCTTATATGATCGTTGAACGATGCCAATGACACTATGAAAGCACTCGACTCGCTTACTCCGCGACTAGAAATCATTCCGCTACGATTGAGCATCATTACCCCATTAAGACACGTAAGGCTTTGTTTTCCATGAAAAGGAAGGCCGTGTCTATTAAAATTGATACGTGGGAATAAGCGAGAGCCCGAAATTACGTTTCTTCTCCCCAGCACCGAGTCGGTTTTGCAACGTTAATAACAATTTACACGTTAACTTCGGGAAACTCGGCGAAATTCTGCGAATGGAAAATTATTGAATTAGCGATATACACTCTCTTATACGTAGTATATACAGCAAACATCGCGCAAACCGTCGCGGCGTACCGTTTGCATAACTCCAAATTATGGAAATTCGGCTTATCTCGTTACTGCGCACTGTCCTACAGCAATTTGAGTAAAGCCAATTTTGATCGTTGCTGCACAGTGTGTAGCGCGATCAGAGATCGAGATCTCGTTCATTTGTACGTTATTCTTGTGAAAAGTCGACTTGCACCATATTTTTTCCAGAAGGAAGATAAGTTAACTTACTACTTCATAAGTTTGCCAAGTTGGACAATGAAAAGAGCGTTCAAAGAACCCACCAAAAATGTTTTCCAATTTTTCTAGCGTGACTCTCGATTCCCCTTTCACACTGAATAGACAGCAAGATGGCGACCATCGTGAATAGCGACGATTATGACTCCGATTTAACTGACTTTTATGATAATATGGAAAAAAACGGAACTTTTACATACGGCATAAGTTTTTATTTCGCTAATTTGTCGGTTACTATGTATTAAACAATCGCTTTTCTCAAAATGGAGATGTTTTGACTTGCATCTTGCACGGAGGCTCTCAATTATTCCCATAAGGATGCACTGACTGTGCAATCTCACACAAGTTATTTCAATTTAAAATTGATATGAAGTTCTCTTCTTTTGAGGGTAAAGATATGCGCATATCTTTACCTTCGAAAAATAGAAAGTGCGCACTACATTATGTGCTCGTATCGTGTAAAGGACTTCAATAATACTAATTACCATGATATATGGCTTTAGAAATAAATATATTTGCAAATTTTATGATCGTCGGCCCAAAACTTTTGAATGTGTATTTCAAAACGTTCTATATATTAGTAATATTTAAGGTATAACAGATATCGAATGAGATACCGAGAGCCGGTTTCGCCCACGTCGTTTGACTTCAGCTTCATTCGTTCTTCGTCTCTTTCCAACGGTTACTTCAGAAAGAGACACACATGAATTAAACTAAGATTAAAGTTAAGCGACGTTTGGTGAAACCGGACCTGAGGGTCATTTTAACCAAACTCTGGTTAAAGCTAAATCGACGATTAACTTTTAGTATTGCGGCATTTCTCCTAACAAGGGGTCTTTCTCTCTCTTCCTTTCTAATACAAAATGTGTTTTTATTGTTTCGTCATGTCGGCAACTCTGTTGGCCGAATTAATCAATAATTAATTAGAGTTTGATCGAAGTAGCCTTTAAAAACGCATAAAAATACAAAATCTAAATAAATTTGTAATTGACATTTTTCTAGCACTTTGTCATAATCGTTTTCGAAATTTTACATTTTTTAATTAATAACTCGGCAATAACGGGTTAATGAATAAACTTTTTTTAGAAACGTTTCTTAGTATTTGATTTACTCGCAAACGAGGAATATCGACTGATCTCTTTCGCAATGTCGTGTCTCAATTTTACATAATTTCCGGTTTTTCTATTTAAACACTCGTTCTGGTCCTAAATGAGTGTTCAAGCAGAAAAACCGAAAATTGCGTAAAATCGAAATACGACCTTGCGAAAGAGATCGGTCATATTGCCAACGTTGCCCTCTTACAATTCTCTTGATAATAGTGGGAATATGCTGCTACTTCGTAAGAATTCGTGCAAAATTAAAAGTTAAACAACTCGTGAACCAGTTAAGGAATCGGCTTTATTTTTTTTTATTTAGCTTTTAGCCTTTACACGCGTATTCAGATAAGAAATACAAACGATCTATTAAATTTTCATGGGAAATTTCAATGTTAGAACGTTAGCACCGGTGCGTCCTTAATCCCGCAATGTTCAAGTTGATACAGGGAAGTCATATATTTTCGTTTTGTCGTAGCAGCGGGCGAGGTAGAGGCAAGGTTGACATCGTGATATATGCATGTGCGTTAGGTGTGATTCCAATGGAAATCCGTTGCGTTAAGAGTTAAGCAAACCGTATCATTCCGTAATAGACTGGAACTTAATCAGCGAGAGATCGGAGGAGTCGGTGCGCGATTCCTGCCTTTGTTTCTCCAACAATATTTTCTACACAATGTTTCATATTACTTCTCACCGCCGTTAGAATTATGTCTTCTCGCGGGACGAAGCGTTCCTCTCTTTGTTCTAGGCGAAACGAAGGAAACTCGTCCGTTGTATACGAACGAATGAATGTATACGCGCGTACATGTACGCGTATGTACGTGCGTGTCTGCATGCCTGCGTGCCTGCGTGCACGCACATCTATGCAAGAAGTAACTGAGGCTATGATTTACCGTGTATTAAAGCCTACCGAGTAACGTTCGTGAGAACCTGCCATTACGTGCCCTTACAAACCGCAATTTAGAACATCGAAATTTTTTTACCGAGCAAACATTCCCGATATATGAGAGATGACAGTGCGATGACTCCCTCGGCCCTTCACCCTTCGCCCACAGGCACCGCGGAATATCGAGCGGGCGTATTTTACTATTTAAATTATATACTGTAATCAATTTGATTAGAGAGAGGTAAATATGTTGGGTAAAAGTTCGATCTAAGCGCACGCTATCGACGCTGCCCGGTGCACCGTGAATCGAAGCGGACGTACTGAGTGTCCGGTAACCGCCGGATCACCTCTGTGAAGTTGGCACCTCATGTCTCAAAAAAAAAAAAAAATTTTCAGTTCTGAATGCACCCCGAAGAGTTCTAGAGTTACTTATCAATTTTAAAAATAGTTCTGGCGAATTAACCTAAAAAATTTAAATTTGAAACTTGGGGATGCTAACTTCACAAAATGAAATCTCGAAATCAGCGATAACACTAAAAGTATTGGAAATATTTAATTTTGCCATTAGGATTTCCTTTAGAACTCTTGAGGGGCTACCCAGAACTCCCAACAGAACTGCTGGAACTGTTAAAAAATTTTCCTCCTTCGGGACTTGGAAATTTTTCGAACCGAAGTATAAAAAATCGCGAGAACTTTTGAACTTTTTATTCGTCGGTCGTAGCAAATTATTATATACAAGCTATAAAAAATGTTAAGAATCAAAATTTTCGAGAACTATTAAGGTTCAAAGGACTACGGACCGACGAATAAAAAGTTCTCGCGATTTTTCGTCCTTCGGTTCGAAAAATTTCCAAGTCCCGAAGGAGGAAAATTTTTTAACAGTTCCAGCAGTTCTATTGGGGAGTTCTGGGTAGCCCCTCAAGAGTTCTAAAGGAAATCCTAATGGCAAAGTTAAATATTTCCAATACTTTTAGTGTTATCGCTGATTTCGAGATTTTATTTCGTGAAGTTGGCATCCCCAAGTTTCAAATTTAACTTTTTTAGGTTAATTCGAACTATTTTTTAAATTGATAAGGAACTCTAGAACTCTTCGGGGTGCATTCAGAACTGAAAAAAAAAGATTTTTTGAGACAAGAGATGCCAACTTCACAGAGGTCACCGGATCGCCACTCGTGAGACATTGGAAGGAGCGATGTGTAATTAGCAGCAACGAATAGTTGCTTATAAAAATTTCCCCCCCCCCCCTCCCAATACTTTACTCGCGCGCGTAGCAACGGTAACCACTGGCTAACTCTTCTCGCTGAATCTTGCGGACGCACGCAGATTGAAACGTTTCTCACTATTTCACTTATTTACAAACGAAGTTGCAGAATATTGTCAACGTTGCCTCCTTATAATTCTCGTTATAATAGCGGGAATATGCTACCACTCCGCTAAGAAATCATGCAAAGTTAAAGAACTCGTGAACCAGTTAAGGAATCGGCTTTTATATTGACAGATTGACGGATCTTCAATAATTAATAACTCATTATTTATTGCCTTATAATCGCAAAACCGTGCAGGACTTGTTTCCTCGGTTCAACCCGTATTCTGTCTGCTCGCGAAAGGTGGTCCGGTAGTTACCGGACACCCTGTATATATCGCCAATAGTTATCTAAGCGCAATTATCTTGTGCATAACGTGACGCATAGGCCACCAATAGCTACGCTCTTATGCAGAATGTTGTATCGTGTAGCTGACGCAACCTTATAGACAGATCGATAGATAGTATTAGCAACAAGTATCGTACAAATGGCTATTGAGGCACAGTAAAAATACTGTTCATACAACGATAACCCACCGCTGTTTACGTATTAGAATTAGTAATTTCTAGAAGATTAAACTCGATCATTATACGAAAACAATGCCTAACTAAGGCGAACGCTTCAATATCTTTTTCAACGAATTTTCTTCTTAAATCGATCTTATGATTTTACACTACCGGTAACTACCGGTCGACAGTTGAAATTCAGAATGTCCATTACACGAAATGCGAGTCGCATTATGCATTATAATCGAACAGACTTTTATTATTTTGTGCCGAAATAAAAAATAATATTAAATGTTTGAAGTTCTACGAAAAATATATTTTTTTTAATAAAAAATTTATTAGATCCCCTTTTCCGTCACTCTTAATCACCTTTTTATTAATCTCGGTACTGTAGCTGCAAATTTAATTATTTTGTCTGACAAAAGACTTTCCCACTCATCTTCTAAAGTAGCTTAATTTTGGAAAAAGGTTTTATCACCGTAGTTTATTTTTTAAATTAAATAATACTATATTAACTATGCACTTACAAAGCTAAATGGCTATTTATACTTTAAAATTAAAAAAAATATTAAATAAGGTATGAAAACGGGCTTTTTAGTGCTTCACTGGAATATTTTTAAATTTTTATATGTGACTTTAAAACATGTGATCGACATATATCTTTATATTCCTTTTTCTCAGCTTTATTATCCTTTCTCTCACCAATTCAACATATTCGAATCATCTTTCTTCTTATTCTGTTTTCTTGTATGTGACTATATTTTAATTGCTACTATTTTTTCAGCTTTCCTCTTTAATTTTAATTATATTTAGAAAAGGTGAATTCTTTACAACTTTGCTCTTGAAATTTTTTATAAATTTATTTTATCCAGCAATCAAATCATAGTCTCTTTTGAGATATTTATTTTCTAATGTGATTAAACAGAACAGGTAAAAGATAAAAAATCTGATTTTATGGAAGAGTTTCAAAAAGGTTTCGATGTTTTTGTGCAACAACTTGTAGATCCCTTGGAGAAAGAAGAAGTAAAAACATTAGGAATCTTCGAGTTGAAGTCAGAAGGAGGACAAAAAGAAAATGATATTAGATAAGCCGTAAATCCTCCAACGCTGACGCAGCACCCACTCATATCTCAAAAGTTATCTAATTTGCATTAATGAAGATAATGAAGATATTCTGACTGTATATATATCACGTCATACGTATTCATTTCCTTCCGTTGAATTCGAATTGCATTCGCAATGCGCATCTTTGCCAAAGGCCGATTTCCACTATGGTTATCGTTGCGCGAATTTACGAGCTTAAGTCACGCAAACTTTTAACATTGCATATGAAGGAGCGTTCGCAAACAATTTCCTTTTCTCCTTGATGCCCGAAAATCACAAGGTAGCTAGCACAATAGCATTAAAAATTTATGATTACTTCACGGTAGAGATCTCAAAAAGCTTCAGCTCCAACGAGTAGACACGAGATGAATTAACAATATTCGCATTAGAATTAGATGTTCTAAATTTACAATTTTCATGTACGAGCAAATTTTATCTCTTAATGCCGCAATTACATACTTTCGACATATAATTATTTTTTCTAACCGAAACTTCTTTTTCGTTTGCTTACAGCTCGGCATATGGCAACTCGCAAGGTTCGTACGCGACAATGAGTTCCCCACGCCAGCAACAACACAGCGGACAACAATTGCTGATGTTGCAACAGCAGCAGCAGCAGCAACAGGTGCAGCAGATGCAGCATATGCAGTATATGCATTCTCAGCAGCAGCAGCAGCAACTGCAGCAGCAGCAGCAGCAGCAACAACAACAACAAATGCAGTACAGAAGTCCTACCGGAGGCAGTCCGACTGCTATGCAAGCCAATAATATCCCAGAGACGAATAACAACACTACGACCAGTGAAGATAGTGATGATAGCACTCCACATTCTGGTGGAATGGTGAGTCAAATCGCGCATAATATCTGTGCAATGTCTTTGTTCGAGTAATTTGTCTCACAAATAGTTGTCTAAGATGTTGAGACTAAACGATTACGATAAAAATGACGAAAACTTTTGGAATCTAAATAGATTCTGTAGATTTTATCATAAAAAATTCTGTCAAAGTTTGAGACTGTTTAGGAAGCTCGTTACATCAAATAATCAAATTACATGTAGTCTTATGGAGAATGGAAGAAAACTTATTATACCTCAGTGAAAAATGATGAAAATAATATGAAATTTTGCAAGTAGAACGAATAAAACTACATAATTTTTCATACCAATTTTTAAACTTCACTAGGAGACTCGTTTTTTTTAGTTAATAGTTTTACCAAACAACTTAAAAAATTTCTCGATATACCGAAAAGTGGCAATATTGCAGCAACCTCAGAGTGGCCGCAAGTTTGAAAATGTATTATTGAAATATACCTCACTAGTTTGCAATTTGTGTACAAAGAAAATATGAAGTCATGACATAACTTTTGAAAGTGATTGTACACAAGCAACTTAACTTTTAACAGGTAAAACTATACCTCTACCGTCTCAACATACTTAGAATCTATTTGTAAGTTAATAATATACCATACGTTTTTTACCGCATAAAGCAAAAATATATAATTCACAAAAATTAAAACTCGACATAAAACCCAACCCGATAAAAATACAAAATTTACTTCTTTCGTGTCGTATATGTATATATTTTATCTGTTTATTATACACATCGGTGTATATCAGTCACTATTTATATACTTTTTAAACGCTAATAACACACGTTATATGTGAATATTGCATGGACAATACTGTTTATAGCAATAGAAATTAATAATTTTTCCAAAATAATTTTGGGTTTATTAAAAGACATTCCAAGTGTTCTTTAAATGTCTTTTCCTATCCAGATTGCTATGGTCAAACGTGAGCCACCGTCGCCAGAACCAGCTGACGTTGGAGCGAAGAATCAAAGAAAAACGAAGCCACAGAAGAAAAAGAAGAAGAGAGATCCTAACGAGCCACAGAAGTAAGTAACAATATTTCGAGCTTTATGAAGTAATAAAAAAGTCTGAAATATCCGGCTTTTTTTTTTAAGAGGTTGGCAAAAATGATATTGTTTCAACGTTTCTTCCACCTTCCTTCTTGTCTAGTAATAATAGAACAAGTATCGCTAATTTTATTTTTTGATATCGCAGCAAATTTTGATAAACAAAATATATTTTAGTTCCGTTAGTATTAACTCGTATTCATATACGATAAATATAAATAGGTACATAGTCAGCACACAGAACTGAAGCTATATTAGGTCAATGTGTTATGTCTACATTCGTAATAGTTTCACATTAACGGTATGAATTATTACTGCTGTAAATTACCAGCCGTCATTATTGTTGTAAATGTAGGACTACACTACCACCACCACAATATAGAATATGTTAGAATAAGCAGAATGACAAATGAAGGAAAAGAACGAGACTCGTCATAGCAAATAGAACGAAGTAGAGAGAGGGGGGAAAAGAAAAGGGAGGGATGTGGAGAGAGAAAAAAATATTATTCTAATATTTTTCAATTAGAAATAAAACATATCGATATTCCTATCAAAACGGTGACGATATAAAGATTCATTAGAAACAGGAGAAATAATTAAAAATAATTGAGAGCATTATAGGGATAATAAATTAAAATTGATCATATTCTCAAGACATTGTCGAATTTAAATGATTACAATACTTGTAGCAATTGTTGTCTCTTTAATATTTGAAACATTTTCTCCCATTATGATAATTGCGATACTAATGTGTGTAAAAACGCTATAATACATTTCTAAAAATTGTAATCTCTTTAAACGTAATCGTTTGTCATAAAACTTATGCTGGTTATTGATTTTCAGACCCGTATCAGCATACGCCCTTTTCTTCAGAGATACTCAGGCAGTAATTAAGGGAAAACATCCAAATGCTAGCTTTGGAGAAGTATCAAAAATCGTTGCGTCAATGTGGGATGCGTTAGACATTGAACATAAAAATGTAAGTATTTAAGATCTGTATAATCTTATGTATTTCTATTATTCACTTAATGATTATAGAATCAAGTATCGTTTCCAGCGATTGTGGCAAATGCTACTTAATATAATTGTATACTCGACTAATTTTAATACCATCAGTATTGAGTATAAAAAAGTATAAATTTTTATATAGTATTATAAAAAGAAAACCGAGGCAGCTAAGAAGGAATATTTGAAAGCTCTTGCGGCATACAGAGCATCTCTGGTGAGCAAAGGTGCAGGTGAAAATGAACAAAAACAGCAAACACAACAGCCACAACAACAAATGCAATATAGCGGGTACACAAGCTATGCCAACAATACTCCGCCAGGAAATGTTACATATCAAGTTTATAGCCCTCAGCATCAACCTTCGTCACCTCAACAGCAGCATCAGCAACAACAACAGCAGCAACAAATGGCTGTTAATAAAAAGTCACCCCATCATTTAGCTATGCAAGGAAATCCTCAACAACAAGTATGATTTAGTAAATATGCAATAGAATTTTCGAAAAAATCAAACATGACAAAGACAAGCATAATTGAACATAACATAATCTAATTTCCTTGAAATTGAAATTATAATCTAATTGTATACTTGTTTTGCAAATAAAATTAAACTATAATTTCGTTTATTATATAATAATATATAATAAGTAAAACATTGATTGTATTATGTATAAAAACTAATATATGAAGGCACTCATTTTGTTTTTCTGATTCTAAATAATTCATAATCCAGTAATGCAAGTCAAGATAAAAAATATGAACAAAATTCCAGCCAAGAACATAAATATTCTTATTTTTTATAGGGTTTAATGGGCAATGTAATGGCACCACCGCACATAACACAACAACAGCAGCATATGCAACAGCAGATTTCACAACAGCAATACATGCAGGTTAATATATGATCTTCTTTCTCATTTGTTATTCAATACAGTTGGTGGCGATCATGGTGCAAAGAGATGTATGCTGCTGCAATAAGCCAAAATTCCGAGTTTAAATCCAACCAAAAATCGTTGGTTTCTGTTCGATCGCTCCCTTTCAGAAGTGGTAATCGAGAGTATCTTGCAATACATATCGTTTTTGAGGCCTTAATGCTCAAATTGAACATATATGTATTCAACGAAAAATTTATTTTATTTAATATCTATATTCGAATTTTGGAAAATAAAATTTAAATTCATAATTAAGACTATTTTTTAAGTTTTATAGACTTACATTTGTATTTTATCTTATTCATTGAAATTTACAAAAATATATTTTGATTGCATTTTATTAATTTTATTTAAATATTTAATGACTTACATACAAATATAAATGTAAATGTAATAGAGTTATGGGAATGTTTTCTGTTAATTACTAATTAGTTATAATACATATATGTGCAAAAAAGTATTTTAATTAAAATGTATGCTATGCATTAGTAACAAATTTGAGCATCTTCTTCTGAATATCCAACAGATGATTCCTTCTACATATCTAATAAATGAACTGTCCGCAATAAACCAGTAGATCGACAACAAATTTGATGAAAAATTGGTATACAATTGATATTAATTTTATCCACATTAAGCTCATGTTTTGTTGATAAAATGTACAACATAACTCGATAGCAAATTAGCAGGAAAAATTAAGCAGAATGTCGAACATAGATTTTACTCCATTTTTACTGTTAATTTATCTAGCAAGTATATCAAAGTCTATCTGATTTTTATTTGATTGTTGATTTGACATCATATTTTAAGGATAAACTTTGCTACATTTCAGTCAGCATTCTATCAATAATATTGTATAACAGATTTTGTATAAAATCTAGTAGTTTTTTTATTAACACCTTGCAGAGTTTGTTTTCAACATACTGAGTTGCACAATAGGTTTCAGTACATAATTTATTGTTATAATATTAGAGTAAGTTCAATTTCAAATAATACTTTCTAAATATTGTAATAATTTTACTTTGAGCTGTGGATCAAATGTACTTTTGTGTGTATCTATGTATGTTTTTATACTGAAAAATATTGATAACATTTATAGGTGCCTCAACAACAGCAAGTACAACAGGTACAAGTGCAGCAGCAACAGCAGCAACAAATAATACATACAAGTCCACCTAGAGCAGAATTTATAAAATCTGAAGATTTATCGATAAAGTCTGAAACTTTATCTAGTTCTTCGTCGCCAGTAAATCCTTCACAAGTGGCTATGACAGGACAAGGACCACCACCTTGTATACATCAGGGTTGTCCCAATCCTGCTATATCCAATAATGAATGGGAGGATGAATATTGCAGCAACGAGTGTGTGGTCAGCCATTGCAGGTTAGCAAGAATATTATGTTTCCGTATCATATATTAATTCGTACATTTTATACATATAAAGAAATATATCAAATGAACAAAGTTTATTGCATTTTAGTCTTTGCTCTATGATTGATTGTGATATATTTCTAATTCACAGAGGTTTTTCTTGTATGTCTATTTTCTAACTTTTCTTTATCCTGTATTTACATCCTTATTTATATCTTTATTATATATTTCAGAGATGTATTTAACACATGGGTGTCTTCAAATCAAAATCCTCAACAAAACTATTCTACAGTTAAATAAGTGTTCTACAAGAGATGAACTGCAACAACTATTCAATGGCCTCACAGCTTAAGGCCCGTTGTTAATCTGTAAAGTAAAATATTTAAATGGATGTATATACATAAGCTGGTGAACGACAACTTTTTAAAGTGTCAAGACTATTCATACAACAACAGAGATACAGCATTAGAGAAGTTGACGGATAATTTGAAATGTGAATGGTAATAGCATACAGATGTGTTCTGTATGTGCATGCGTGTCAGCGAGAGAATAACAGGAGAAAGAAAAATAATGGTGAAATAAAGATAAAATTGTTTCTTTTTAGGAAAAGAAGTTAGAATGTATATTGAAAAGCCTTATCCAAAAACTTATTACTCTGGCCAAAGGTCTTTGTTTGTAAGGAGTGTATTACGACTTGCGTAATTTAAATAAGTGCATTTATTTACACTTATGAGAAGTCAAATGACAGCAAACTTTTTTACATTCTCTAATACTCCTTACTGACAGACAAAGCGTGCCAATTGTACAGGCATTGTTTCTTTTTTAACGTCATATAGTGTTGCAGTTTTTTAAAGTTCACCGAACAAGGACTAGTTTTCTTTTTAATTGAATTATCTCAACTGTGTTTCTCTGAACTTTACATTTGTTACTTTGATATAGTCAACAAATAACAGTACAAGCAGATAAAAGCAGTATAAAACGTATAAATAAGTGCACTACGTTTAATGTGTGTTTCGTTCATGCTGTGAGAACAATTATGATTAGATAAAAAGAGGACTTATATAGCAAACTGACATGCCATGGTAATTATCATGATTTATTTCAATATATAATATTTAAGAATAACAATTATATCTGTTAATTAATAAATGTTTCTTAATTAGGCATATATTTTTAATTGCTGGTAATTATAAATATCTTGTTTAAACTACATACATATATTATACTTATATTGCAAGAATGAAAAAATAAAAATATGGAATTACACACACGTACACACATACACGCGCGCGCGCGCACAATAAAACTCCTGTATAACACGAAAGATGTATACTGTGTTATATGAATCTATGTTGTACGAGTCACATAAGCTATATATAGATTTTGTATGTATGTGGAAACATTTATATATGTATATATATCTTTTTAGTAAGTCCTTTCATCTTTTATATATTTATCTTTTTCACATATACATACACACACGCACGCGCACGTGTATATAGAACGTTCCACATCAAATAGGAGAAGTGTGTGGACAAAATTCATTAAATCGAAATAAGATGTTCGGAAGCTTAAAACTTTCATTTTCATATGTAGTTCAAGAAAAAGAAGGTCTTTTGAAAAAATCAAACCAGCAACCAAACATTTCAATGTCTTTAACAAGTTTTTCATCTACTCCAGTCGCCATATTGGAACGGCCGTTTTTATTTATAAAAAAAACCTTTTTCTTAAACTACATTTGAAAACGAAAATTTTAAGTCCTCGAATATCTTATTTTGACTTAATAAATTTTGCCCCCATGCTTGTCCCACTTGACGTGGAACGTCCCACATACATACACATAAGATGGAAGGGTTTATTATAAAGAATATAAAATAAATAATCTTTTTTCCAATGTTTGTCTGTTATTTTATAACTTGAAAAGTCATCTGTTTCGTCTCTATTATTGGTGTTGTTTAAAAGTGTTTAAAGGCTTCTTGCGTTTTCAGGAACTAATTCTTTTTGTTACTTCCCAAAATTTCTTTTATTTCAAAATGAAGAGACAATCTTGTAATATTTTCTCAATTTTTTTTCACTGTGCTATATGAGCATTGCCACAATTTTTCTGTCATGTTATATAGGGGTCTGCTGTATACATATGCTATATACATATAATGTGTGTGTGTGTGTGTGTGTCTGTGTGTGTTTTATATAATATGTATGTACATATACATTATATGATACATGTGATGCATATAATGTATATTCTGTGTACATATATACACAGCGTTTGTAATCATTTTTGCAATATGATTATAATTCATTACATGTAATTTCTAAAGTAAAAATTTTAAATTTTAGTCTTTTTTTATCTCTTGGATGATGCATCACAAATATCATTTTTTTTTATGAACAGAAGAAATTGTATTTATTTTGTAATACATTCTGATCTCTTGTGTTCTTTCCGCAAAGTTTATTATTCCGTCTTTCTTCGTACAACATGGAATACAATCGACTGATAAACACATGCAAAGCATCCATAAACATATAATACTGTTTCCACAAATAAATATACTATAATATTATTAGTCCATCACAGTTATAGAAGTTAAGTACTATGCATTTAGATTAGGCCCATATGAGTAAAACGGGATTTAATTACACAATTTATTTTTATATTGATATTACAACAACCAATGGATAATATGATACAGTTTTCATATATAAAATTTCATACAATACCCCAAAAGAACGTGACGTCAGAATGATATTGACAGCAGTTGCAAATCCAATATTTTTTTAAACACATATTAATATTACATCACATAAAATTGTTTCCATTTGTTCTTTTAATTATGTCTCCTCTCTGTTATTGCTTTGCAATAATGTATTGGCTATAAATACGGCTAAGATAAATATGACTGCAATGGTCTAATACAAATAGTCGCCATGTTATATAATAAATCATGGAGAAATTATCTCAAAATTTTTCAAATATATGAAAAAAAACAATGTCTATCCCCCCCGGAATTCTTAAATCCGATAAACTTTGAAAATTTATGTCATTGCGATACAACAAGTTGCAGAATATTACGCAAAATATATATCAAGAACAATAATATATGAATGTTGTATATATGAATATATACATATATGGATATGGATATATCGTATATACATACATATTATCGTTCTTGAATTGCAAAGATCTGATAATTAGATATCTATGTCCTCTGATTGAGATGCACTTGTGACGTAGGCCTTGAAATAAATCTGTATGATATAAAGAATTTTATGTATAAAAACAAAGAACTACATCCATATTAAATTTATTAGCAATTTCGCATGCAGATATGCAAACTGTTAGGTAATGCATCCCTCTGATAAGATTTTTGTTCAAATTTCGTTCTTTCTTTCATTATATGAATTATCAAATGTTTTAAATATCTTTACTATATTGTTTAATATCCTTGTAAATATATAACTATTCTATAGATTTATAAATTGTAATGTGAACATAATATAGAAACTGTATTATATAAAAATAAATAATACAATTGTGGTATATTATAAAGATACATATACATACATGTCTGCGTGCATACACAAGCGTGCACGCATACCACGTACACACGCACGCGCACACACAGACACACACACTCACACAACATAAAAAGATAGTTATACTTAATCATTTCAATAAAATAGGATATTAATTATCCAAACAGAGCCCATTTAGATAATGGGACTGTACAAATATGTCTATGAAGTAAAAAAGCAAGTAACGTTGAGGAATAATACTAAAAAAAAATCTTTGATTATTCAACTGTAAGGCACAGAAATTTGCATAAAAGTATAAGCATAAAATGCTTCAACTAATGAAACTCTCGGCATAATTCACCGACGCAATTTCATAGAATTTATACTATTTGTTCTGTTGTTCGAGACATTTATTTTTAATGCTTATTTTTCTATATAAATTTCTGTGCAGTGGGCTCACAATGTTTGAAACAAAAAAAAACAAAAGCGTAATTTTTGCAACATCGATCATAATCATATAAATCTGTATCAGAAAGAAATTTAGAAAGTATCAAGCATGTGTACTGTAGCGCTAGCCCTATACATCAAATGCTAATATATTATGGTAATTTCCAATAAATTTATGTTAAATTTTTATTGTTTTATGTACAAAGATATGATTAAACGATTTCAGTCCCGAAGCTATAGTTACACAAATATTTATCTCCTCTCATATCCTTGTACCTAAAAAGATTAAATATTTAGAATTATAAAATCACCTAATAGTAACAAAATTTGAAAATTATGATGAATCGTTAAGACATGAAAATGTGAATAAGATATAACTAATTTGATAAAACAATACGTTTTATTAATGAAAATTTTGTTATTTTTAGTTAAGGACATGTAATATACAACCGAGAATGTACATTTCAAAACTCATAATTGACTTTTGAGGAAATGAAAGAGGAGACAATTCTGAGACGAAAATTCTTATGTCACATTTCTCTCCGGTCATTATTCATTGAGGTATTTAACAATATAACTTATCATTATTCATTGAATTAATTAATAATAAGTTGATCAATTCCGTTCACGCAATCCGAGTCGGACAGCAATATCGACGCCCCACTCAACGCCCATATCACCATATATTATTTGATTTGATTGTTATTACTTTGTTTTTAAATAAATTCATGTGTCATTAATTTTAACAGGTCCCGTTGAGTCAGCATTGCAGTGTGCACGAGATTAATCGATTCAATTGTTAAATAACTTGGTGAATAACTTGGGGCCCGTATGCTGAACCCTCTTTTATCGATAAAAGAGGGTTCGGAATACGGGCCTTAGTGAATAACTTATTGTTAGTGAGCGAGGAAAAAAGTAACACAAAAACTTTTATCTCAAAATTGTATCCTCTTTTACCCCCTCAAAGGTCAATTATGAATTTTAGGATACCTTGTACATACATATTTTACCTTTTGGAACTTTACTCAAAATATTTCGATATCACAGAGTTTTAGAACAACCTGTTTCTGACAAAAGTTGTTTAATTCGAGGGGAGGACTTATTTCTAATAATAATTACAATCGTGTATAACTTTTGCATGAGAAAAATATATATTTATTATAATATTCTAGAACAAAAGTAACTTTCCAGTGAACAACATTAACAATGAGAGGAAGACCTCTTTAAGAAATCTTTTCGAAGACCAGTTAAAAATGACATTCCTATATGTTATCTCTTTATACAATGTCTTTCAAGAAAGCTCTTTATATATTATTTATATCTGTTTAAAGTTACCCTGTCAAAATTTCTGCTGGAGGAACATGCGGCACTTTCTCATAAGAAAACCGCGTACGTAATATTATAAATTCATACACCTGCATGAAATTCTTTATCTCTTCTCTACTATTAAAGTGAGCTCCTTTACTACGAGCTCTTATTGCACAGGGTATTATTTTACATGTTTTTGTAATAAAAGATTTATATTTTTACGAACTTTATATATGAAGTGCCATAAATAGCAATTTTTAACTTTTTTTAAATTTTTATATAAGAAATCAAATTTTAAATGTCATTTACATGATCATATATATAATGTCTTTTTCTCTTTCAAACCTGAGTACTTAAAGAGCTCTTTTTGTTATTATATTGCTCACTGGGTGTGCTCATCAATCCTTTTACTGCGAACATTATATACATATATATATATGCAATGGCATTGAATATAAACTAGCAGTAACAATATATGTGTATACAAATGTGCGTGTGCTGAGACAAGTTTTGTGCTCCGGTAAGTAATGTAATTGCCATAATAACGGACGTGCGACTATGTACAGCAATTATGTACTCTTCTCCTAATAATGCATCGCAGTAAAAGGATTAATAAATGTATTTGGCTAATGCGGATATTTAATTAATAAGAATAAAATTTATCAATGTTGTTGGTTACAGAATTTATGTCAGAGTAAAGCTGGTAATAAAATAAATTACATACATTTTTTTTTTTCATAAATTCACTAAGTACTTTTTGTATTTCTAGTTGGCTATTTTTGTTGATAGTTTAATTTAACAATTAAACTACTATTATAATATTCAGCATCATGGTTCATTCTCATCATGCAAAACGTGTTTCTTTACCATATGGTATATCATTCCTGCTGTCAATATACCTACTGCTGTTCCTTGTGCAGCAACTCGGAGATTTATTAAATATAACTGTGTAGATATTTTTCTGTTCTTAAAAGCATAGGCACCATAGCCACAGATACCTGCTAAACTTATCAAACCTGTTTAGACAGTAACATATGCATTATATATTAATGACAAGTATTTATATTTTTATATGCTTTATATAAGTTCACGTACTTGCAACAAGAAATGGTGACTTTCGTCCCTTTTGTAAAAGTTTCTCCGACAAAGTTTGATCGATTATTGTGTCATCGTCGATAGTAGCCATTTTTTTAAAGAAAATAGCGATATCTGCTAACCTGAAAATTAATTAATTCTAGATCAGCTTAATTATAAAAATGCATAAATTACAGACTTTGAAGATAAGTTATTTCCAAAAAGTTTATCTCGCAGGTAAACTTTGCTTATCTATCCCTTTTATAGATTTCATCACTTCTGTTAAATTTAAAAGTTTCTTGATAATGGAATTTAAAATATTCTATTTATATCATAATATTATAAATTTATCTTTATTTACACACACACACCCACACACAGAAATGTCTCTTGTAACTAATAACTGCAAATTAGTCCTATCTGAGAAGAACATAACTGATATTACATCATAATGTTTCATAATATTTCACTAATTATATATTTTTATATCTTTCTCTTTTTTTTCGTATTACTCAAGTCAAAATTGAAAATCTATCTATAAATTCTTGGGATAAAAGTTTACACAATATTAATGAAAAATAAAACAATTTGATGTTGGCTTTCATTAAAACGGTCACGAGATATGACTATTGATCACGCGTACTTGGCTGATTCAAGATTATCGAAGTGATTAATGACCTTGTCAATTTTTGTTTCACATTTCTCTCGGCGTTATGCAGTTAAAAATCAATAGCTGTTACCATATTATCTGACAAGAATAAAAACACTAAAAACAAATTATTTAATTCAAATAATTTTGTTATCTTGCGTTATTACAATATTACTTCGATAATATCACTTAACCTAAATCTAAACCCATATAAATCTTAATGCATAAAAAGTTTAAACGTAAATATAAATTTTAGTTTTTCTATCACGACTAACATTGAATTGCACGTTAATGTATATTTTTCTTGTGTGTTAGTTTCTCCTTATTAATTTACCGTTTAAGTAAGAGTTTCTCATAATTATCCGCTATAAAAATATGAATATTATATATTGGGAAAAAAAAATATATATCAAGCTTTTCGGAAGCCTTGCTCACCTATGTACACTCCGATAATTGTATCGATGAAATAGGTGCTAGGAAATACTGAGAGATAAATGATAACCTCCACACGAACGTGCGTGATTGAGTGACAAATCTCATAGACCATATGTGGGCGCTGAGCCGCTGATGCGCATGTGTAATACTACGTTCCGTAACATGGATTACATGGTATTCGTATATTATCTATATAGTTCATGTTACATATAGTGTATAGGTAAGGGTACGTTTCCACTGAGCGCGTCGCGTATCGCGTCACATAGGCTTCGTTTACACATGCACTTAATATACGCATATCACATAGTAACAAATAGTAAATAACTAGTAAATTGGTTTGGTCATTGGCTGATATCCGTTGAAATACACAATTTGATTGGCGTATCAAGTGCACGATGTAAATCATGCCATAAACAGGATAAACTTTTCGGAAATAACTTATCTTCAAAGTCTGTAATCTATGCATGTTTTATAATTAAGCTGATCTAGAATCGATTTATAATTAATTGTTTTATAATTAAGCTGATCTAGAATTGATCAATTTTTAGATTAGCAGATATCGCTATTTTCTTTTAAAAAAATGGTTACTATCGACGATGACACAATAATAGATCAAACTTTGTCGGAGAAAGTTTTACAAAAGGGATGAAAGTCACCATTTCTTGTTGCAAAAACGTGAACTTATATAAATAAGCATATAAAAATATAAATACTTGTCATTAATATATAATGCATATGTTACTGTCTAAACAGGTTTGATAAGTTTAGCAGGTATCTGTGGCTATGGTGCCTATGCTTTTAAGAACAGAGAAACATCTACCTAGTTATATTTAATAAATCTCCGAGTTATTGCACAAGGAACAGCTGTAGGGTGCACGACAGAAGGAATAATATATAATATGGTAGCCTATCAGATCAAACTTTGTCGGCGAAATTGTTAAGTTTTGTGTCCACGAACCGTGCCCCAGTTCTAGTCCCGAGAAATGTGTGGTCAATCAACTTGCAGCTTTGCCGTAAAAGATACAAGTAATTTACGGTCTTAACCTCGATTTATAAGATAGGCTTAACTTCTCACTCACCGGTACGACGCAGAGCAGTAAAATTGCGACGCCTCATCGTCCTGCAACGCACAAATGGAAAATTCAAATTAATACACTTGAAGGATGCAACATTAAGAAAAAAAGCTAATAATGTTTCACGAAATACACGCGAATACCATTATTCGCGGTACATTTCAACTACCGTGAATAACGACTGTATAATTTCCGGAAGGAAATGTTCCGCGAACGTAAATTTTCGTAGAACACACAAAACATTCCTTTTCTACTTCGTACGCACACATGTATCGGCCGGTACTCGCATGAGTCGTTCGAACGGGCGCGAATCAAGTAAAGGAAAAGGAGAACAAAACAATCTGCGAGATGGAGTTGACATGAGAATAATGTATAGGCAATTATATATTCACCTGAGGATTACTGCGCTGTCGCCCGATGCCTCTAGGCCGCCGCCTCCTCTCAGAATCCTCCAACTGGCACTGGTACAACACAACACTCGCGAAAGCGGAGATAATTACGATCGCGTCGCGTCACTCCCGACGTTATTCGTCGCGGCCTCCATTGCAACGAGAGCAACCCAGTGAGAAATGATTCGTCGATCGACGTCGAAATGAAGTCGAATCGACGTCAATTCGACGGTGTCGATGTCGATTCGACGTCGTTTCGACGTCGATTGACGAATCATTTCTCACTGGGAAGAGCCGCGATCGCGGAGATACGATCGATGGCGTCGCGCAAATTGGCGGGAACGTTTCGGCGAAGAGGGCCGCGCTTTTCCCGAGAAGAGAGACCGAATGCGGGCGTGAACGGGGGATTTCGCGCGAACGTTTCTCTCGCCGCGCGTCACGCGTGAAATTGTACATACGCGCGCGAGAAGATAACGAATTGAAGCTCGGTGTATTCGCGTCGCACGAAGATGCGGCAGCGCCGCGGCGACGGTGCAAGAGATTCCGGCGCCTCGCGAAATACGCGTCTCTACTCGATCGTCGACGCACGAGTGTGGAATCTACGACGCGACTGCTAAACGTGATTAGTATCAAACTCACTGCCGTTGTACGCGCCTTCGTGAAATTCGTCGCGATGACGGTCGGCGCGGAAGAGCGATCCACTGCGTATCCGCGGGGCGGCTTGTACCAACATGGCGCCGGATCCCGGCGGCACTGCGCGGTACTACACTAGTCAAATCAACGACGCGCGACGATTGCACATCGCTTCTCACTTGGGCTGCGTTCAGAAACGCCACCCGAATGCACCGGTGTATCATTTTATCCTTGTTTAACATACGGCGAGCAACAAGGATAGAATGATGCGCTGGGGTACCCGGGTGGTGTTTCTGAACGCAGCCTTGGATATAGCGCACTGAAAGAAACGCGTAAAGTCACACGTTGGCGAGAATTCGACACTCATAGTTCTCGTCTATACTCAATTCACGTCGAACGAACACCAAACACGAATGGTAGACGACGATTCGGCGGTTCGCTTCCCGTATCTCGAGCAAAGCGATAAATCAGACCTCTTAAGCCTCGTTTACATAGAAAGCCTCGTCACAGTATAACC